AACTGCTCTAATAAGGTACACAAAATTAGAGCAGTTCCTCAGTAACTGCTCTAATTTTGTGTACCTTATTGTAAAGTGTTTCCACTTACCCTTTGATGCTTGAAAGTCAAAAGCTGAAGACAAAATCCTGAATTGAAAAAAAGCCTTGGTTTCTCACTCTTGCTGTGCATGCTGGTTCATTAGTGCAAACGGTTTATTTGTGACAAAATGTTTAAATTAGACATGTAGAATGAAGTGATTTTGATTTTTTTTTTTTTCTTCTTTCTGATGGAAGCCATAACCCAATGGTAATTTGTTTTTACAGTTTCTGGCTATGATGAATGATGTAATTTGGGCGATTTTTAAAGAAAACATGAGGTATGTTTTCCTAAAAAGAATTTTCCTTTAAACATCTTAAAAAAAATTGTAAGGCATATTTGCACAACCCCCTCACCTCTCGTAAGTAATGAACAGTCCCTAACTTAGAAATAAAATAAGAAACCAAAGTATATCAACATGCGATTCTTTATCTCTCATATTGGCAGTTTTAAATTGTTTATATACTTCAACAGCATAATCTAATTCTCAAAATTCACTTATAGCTTTTTGTTTTGGTGTGCCAACCCAAGAATTTCAGTGGCCCCATCTGGTCACTCCTATGAAGCATTTCTGTGGATGCCACTGCCCTTGGTGAGAACCAAATGACCTGAACTACAGATTTGAAAGTACCCCTGGATGAACAGCCAGTGGAGGGAAATGAGAAGCAGACTTTTCATTCCTATAAGGTAACTTAGGTATCTAACCCAGCAACCCACTGACTTGGCTACTGACTTCTCTGGTCACGAGTTTTGTGATTGGAATCACTGGATATCGAAGAGTGAATAAACAAACCATCAATATGCATAGGTTTGATACCCAGTAACGGACTCTGTATAACTCTGGCATAATTTTATTCCTGGCAGCGTGAAGAGGGTTTAAAGCTACTCTTACCTTTCTTGCATTTCACACAACACTGAGAAAACATTTGAACATCCACAACCCCCGCCTCCCTCCAAAGTCCCATCCCCCTCCTCCTGCAACTCCACCTCCCTCCAAAGGCCTACTCCCCCTCCTCCATTCCGTCCTCATTACGTCTATGATAGACGTAGGCGTTGGCAAAGTAACGTTAGATACACAGAAGAGGAGAGCAAGTGTAACGTTACAACCAAGACAATCAAACGTAACCCTGGAGTTTTAAAACTCAACCGTAGTCAGTGATGACTGATGAGAATTAGAATAAGGTTACAGTGCTAATGTTAGATAGTAGCGTTAACGTTACTAGTAAGTGGAAACGCACAAGGAAGATAACGTTAATGTTTCAGAGGCTACGCTACAGTAGACTAACGTTAGCCATTAGCAACTGGATGCTGTGTTGTCAAATGCAACGTTATAGCCTATTTTACAGTACAGGCAAACTAACTCTGCGACCATCTCATCCCTTTTTAGTTTAGGATGAAGCTGCATCAGTCTTCACTATCGCTCGAAAGCTCAGAGATGTTACACGAGCGGTTATGTCAGTCAGAGGCCTCCACTTGGGGAAGACAGACAGGACGCTCGGCCAATCGTTGCATTCGGTCCGAATGCAATGATTGGTCGGAGTTTTCTTAGAACCATATGAGAATGGTATAATTATGAGTTTTTATCTCTGGTGGAATTCCCTTACATTTTAGTGTGCCATCAGCGTATTAATAGCATTTTAACCTAAACAAAGAAAAGCATAAAATTTCCAGAAAGGTAAGTGTCGCTTTAACTAAATAAAATAGAATATACCGGGAAAAAAATTACTACATAGATAAACTTTTTCTGAGTGGTTTTGAGATATTAAGCGTAAAAAGTTTTTGCATTCCAAATAGCAAAAATGATATGTGGAGGGTGTCTGTCACAAAAATGACAGACACCCTAAAATTATTCTAAATATAAAAAAAATCTAAATCCTGTCAGTTTTGTAAATGGAGTTTTTAGGGAAGGATCAAATACAGATAGAACCTTGGGAGTTTGAGAAAAAAATCCCATTGAAAAGACCTTTAGAGAGCAGAAGGAGAGAGAATTGGACAGGTTTAGAAATATAGCGGCAGAGAAAAAAAAACTGACCTTGGAAGTGGAGGTATTGCATCATGAGGTGGCAGAACTGACAGAGTACAAAAACGTTGCCTCCAAAAAACTAGAACAACAAAGCCAACTATTAAAACACAAGGACATTGAACACAAGAAGACAAAAAAAGAGTTAAAGGAAATGCGAGATTTATCAGAACATCACAAGAATGAAGTTGAAAGACTTGTCCATTATAGAGATGAACTTGTCAGAGAAAAACAAATCTCAGCAGAAATGAGAGAGGAAATTAAAAAACAAAAAAAAAGAATCCAAAAAACCCCACATTCACTAGAATAAAATATATTGCTTGAAAAAGCAATTTAAAAAAATGGACGGCAAAAATATGGAGCTACAATCGTTACAAACACAACAAACACAAATGGAAGATGAGATGGATAGAATGAAGCAAGATGTAGACAGACAAAAGTCAAAAACAGAGAAACAAAAATGAAGCTTTTGAACAGCGTAATCTAATATTGAAGCTTCAAACATCAATGAGGAAGTCAAAAGTAGACTTCAAAACAATGCAAATGAAACCAATGGCCAAAAATATATTTTGTGAGGTCACACTGACCTTGACCTTTGACCAAATTCTAATCACTTTATTTCTTTAGTCGAAGGTTGATGTTTGTGTCAAGTTTAAAGAAATTCCCTTAATGTGTTGAGATACGGCATTCACAAAAATGAGACAGACAAGGTCACAGTGACCTTGACCTTTGACCACCAAAAACTAATCAGTGAATTGTTGAGTCGAAGTGGATATTTGTGCCAAATTTGAAAAAATTCCCTCAAGCTGTTTTTAAGATATTACA